GGGCGGAGGGGGCACTCTGGGGGAGAGGTAGGGGGGAAAGGGGAGGGGGCACTCTGGGGGGGGGGGAGGGGGGCACTCTAGCGGAAGGTAACTGGCAACTCTCGCTTTGCAGCAGCGTCTCCGGGAGGCCGTGGCGGTGCTGGGCGGGGGCGGCCTTCTCTGCGCCTCGTACCTGGTGGCCGTGGGTGAGGAGCGGTTCTACGCCGAGCGTCTGATGCCGGGGCTGCAGCGGTTGCTGGGGCCCGAGACCGCCCACGTGCTCGCCATCCGCCTGCTCAGCCTGGGGGTCCTGCCCCGCGTGGCCCAGCGCGACTCGGCCATGCTGGTGCGTCCCCTCCCGTGGGGACATGATCTGCACGGGCTGAGCCCCCCTGCGGGGCGGCCCTGACACTCGGTGGGTGGGATATGTGGGGTGTGCGCCTGGCCCCGGAACCCACCCCACGTCTGAGCTGGTGGGATGCCCCAGTGGCCCTGGGGAAGGTGATGTCCCTGGGAGCTGAGCTGCCCCTGCTGTGCCAGCTGCACCCCTGGGGGCTGGAGCCGGAGCCAGTCTCTGTGGGGGAGGGGGCTGGCTGTTGTGGGGCTCTGCCCCTGCTGAGTGTGGGGAAGGGCCCTGGCAGCCTGCGGGAGGCCGGGCTAGACCAAGTGAGCGAGGGACCCATGTTCTCATGCGGGCTGTGGATGGTTCCCCCACACACACGCCCAATAACCTATTGGGGCTGCTCTCATGACTGGCCCTCAGCCGGGCCCCGGGCCAGTCACTGTGTGCTGTGTGGGGGGGTCACGAGGCCTCACTTGCTCTCCCAGGAGGTGTGCGTCCTGGGACGGAGGTTCCGGAACCCAGTGGGCCTGGCGGCCGGCTTTGACAAGCACGGGGAAGCCGTGGACGGGCTCGCCAAGCTGGGATTTGGCTTTGTGGAAGTGGGGAGTGTCACCCCACAGCCTCAGGAAGGGAACCCCAAACCTCGGGTCTTCCGGCTGCCAGAGGACCAGGCTGTCATTAACAGGTAGGCTGGGGTCAGAGGCTGCTGTCACAGGGGGGAGGGAGGGGAATCCCATGTTTGCCTCTAAGTGCTGCCCGGGGGTCATTTTCTCCCTTCCCCACCACCATTGACCTGCAGCAAAAGAGCCAGTAAGGCTAGAGTCAAGGCTGGGAGGGGACTGGTTGGGTAGGGGTTGGGAGTCAGACAAGCCGGTGGGCCTTGGCTGTGGGCAAGGTGGGAGGGGCTGGTGGCCTGTGGGGGCAGTGAGCAGAGGCATCTGTTTCCATCCTGTATCTCTTGCTGGGCTGAGCAATGGAGGGCTTGGAGATGCAGCTTCCCCCTCTAGGTAAGTGTCTTGTGGCCCGAGGTGTGGCAGCCAGCAGCCCCCTGCATCCCACAGGGAGACCGAGGACCTCCCTTCCCTGGCATATTGTTCCTGGGTGGGAGCGATTCTAGCCCAGCTCTGTGCTGCTCGCTGACACCTCTCCTTGTTCCTGTGCAGATACGGCTTTAACAGCCATGGACATGCCGCCGTGGAGCGTAGGCTTCGGGCCCGGCAGGGAGCACAGCTCCAGCTCACGGAAGGTAAAGCTCCTTGCTGTCATGAAGATCCTTAACCAGGTTACAAGGGAGAGTGCTATAGCAGTCAGTTGTTAGCCTGTGGAACTCACTGTCACAGGATAGCGCTGAGGGCGTGATGGGATTCAGAAGAGTATTGACGTTGGGATAACGAGGAAGGCCATAAGGGTGGTGGCTGCCCCTGCTTCAGGGCATGAGCCAACAGGCCATGGCTCGGGAGAGCTTTGCCATTTCATAGCAGGCCACTCTAACTGCCCATCTGGAGAGTCTCACGCCTTCAGCACTGGCCACTACTACCTGCTTTTGGAGGGGGATGGGGACCCTGGGTAGCCCAATGTGTGGGGGTGTGACCTGCTACAGCAATTCCTGCGCTCTCCAGCAGGGGGTGGGCGCTGGGACCCCTGTGCATCAGGGATGGGGTAGTGCTGTGGGTCTGGTGAGTGCAGGGAATTCTCTGCCGTTGGTCTGGCACCAGCACGGCCACCCTCGGCTAGCCATGGTGCTGGCATCGGTGCAGAGCAGCTGCCAGCGTTTGGACTCTGTCTAACCTGGCCCGGCACAGCCGCGTCCCTGGCGCCCGGCTGGGCCTGGCGCATCCAGGGGTTGGTCCAGCAGCAGCTAGTAGGGCCCATACTTCCAGCCGTGGTGCCGTCTCTGGAGTGGCCTGGTTGGGTTGCGGACGGGTGATAAGGCCGGCCCTCCTGCCTCTCTGAGTGGGACACGTGTGTTCCAGCTGGGATGCCCCTCGGAATAAACCTGGGTAAGAACAAGGGCTCGGCAGATGCTGCGCCAGATTACGTGGATGGGGTCCGGACGCTGGGCCCGCTGGCCGACTACCTGGTGGTGAACGTGTCCAGTCCAAACACGCCGGGGCTGCGGGACCTGCAGGGCAAAGCCGAGCTGCGCCGCCTGCTGGCCAAGGTGGGTAACTGTCCCAGGCCAGACTCAGAGTCCTGTGGCACCTTACAGACTAACAGACGTATTGGAGCAGGAGCTCTTGTGGGTGAATACCCACTTCGTCAGACACAACTGTCCCAGGCCAGCCTGTGGAAGCTACCCC